TTGAGGAGATTTAGTTCACAGTGTGACCTTCAAAGAAATTTGCAGAAACCACATAGAAATATAGAATCAGACCTCAAAATAGGGACCTGGAATGAAGGTAACTCTATGAGAGTCACTTCTATAGAAGCACTGAACATGGCCAAATTCTTAGTAGCTGAGCATGTAGATAAGGCTTTCTTTTTTTTTTTTTTTCTGTACATAAACTTTTTTTTTATTTCAGCATATTATGGGGCAGGTGATTAGGTTACGTATGATGCCCTTGCCCCCCTCCCCCCCAAACCCGAGGTTCAAGTGTGTCCATTCCCCAGGAGATGTGCATTGTACTCATTGTTTGTGCATATGCCCGTCCCCTCCTCCCTTCTCCCCCCTCCCCCTGCCCAACATCCAATACATGTTATTCTTATATGTGCACTTAAATGTTGATCAGCTAATACCAATTTGATGGTGAGTACATGTGGTGCTTGTTTTTCCATTCTTGGGATACCTCGCTTAGTAGAATGTGTTCTAGTGCTGTCCAGGAAAATACGAGAGGTGCTATATCACCATTGTTTCTTAAAGCTGAATAGTACTCCATGGTATACATATACCACAGTTTATTAATCCACTCATGTATTAATGGACATTTGGGTTGTTTCCACATCTTTGCAATTGTGAATTGTGCTGCTATGAACATTCGAGTGCAGGTGTCTTTTTCATAGAGCGACTTTTGTTCTTTTGGGTAGATGCCCAGTAATGGGATTGCTGGTTCAAATGGTAGTTCTACTTGTATCTCTTTAAGGTATCTCCATATTGCTTTCCACAGAGGTTGCACTAATTTGCAGTCCCACCAGCAGTGTATGAGTGTTCCTATCTCTCTGCATCCACACCAACATTTATTATTTTGGGACTTTTTGATAAAGGCCAGTCTCACTGGAGATAGGTGATATCTCATTGTGGTTTCTTAATATAGGGTCCATGCCAAGGGATCGGATTTGGGGCTCTATAACCCTCCTAAAGTTATGTGCAATATTTTTATGTACATGTTACTGAGTATTGAAATAAACTTTTTGATTAAGATTTCAAAGTGAGGTGCCAGAGTAAAATGAAAAATTTTTCTTAGCAGATGGAGAATCCACCTAAATTGCTCACCCATGCTGAGAAAATAAAGTGCCCAGGAGTTGGAGAGCAGAGGGGAAGCTTTGGGGGAAGCGGGCTGTCCGACTCTGGCCCCAGCTGGGTGGTGACTGAGTCCCTGCTTTCCTAGCTGAGCAACCAAGAAGCGGCTGGGTTGGGATGATCCTGTGCAGAGAAGGTGCTGGGGTGGGAGGGATGCCAAGAGGGGGCCAGACACCTCGGCCAAAAGAACCAGAGGGGTCCCAGAGTGAGGAGGGAGCAAGCAGCCAGCCGGAGGGGAGAACATCTGTGCTGCTTGCTATGACAGGCAGAATAATGCCCCCCACCCCAAGATGTCCACATCCTAACCACCGAAGCCATGAATATGTTACCTTCCAGGCAAAAGGGACTTTGCAGATGTGATGAAATTAAGGATCTTGAGATGGAGGGATTATCCTCGATGGCCTGGGTGGGGCTGTGATCACAAGGGTCTTTATGAGAGGGAGATAGGGGGTCCAAGAAGCAGATGTGAGGAGGGAAGCAGAGGTCGGCGAGTCAGAGAGGATTGGAAGATGCTACGCTGCTGGCTTTGGAGATGGAGGAGGGACCACAAGACAAGCAGTGCAGGCAGCTTCTAGAAGCTGGAAAAGACAAGGAAATAGGTTCTTCCCTGGAGCCTCCAGAGGGAGTGCAGCCCCATCAACACCTTAATTTTAGGGCTTCCGGTCTCCAGAACTGTAGGATAATAAGGTAGATTGCTTTAAGCCACTGTTTGTGGTAATGTGTTACAGCAGCACAGGAAACCAACACAGCTGGAAAGAGCACTGCAGGGGGGAGGCTGCCAGCAACGGAGGCTGGGGGAGAGCAGGGAAGGGACCCACAGAGCAGCCAGCTCGGCAATCCTGCCACCACCAGGGAGCATTGCCAGGGGAGCCAACTGGGAACTCTCCAGTCCTCTGTCTCTTCTTCCTCTTCTAGTTCTGGCACCAGAAAGACCCTGAACACCATGGTTGTAGAGACGGGAGAGGCAGATGTGGTAAACAGGGCAATTAAAAGAAGCAAGTGCTCTTCCCTCCCCAACACAGGCCTCCAGGAGGGAGAAGCGAACTTTAAAACACCTTCAAAGTTTTGATCATCTCAAGACATTGGGATTTTAATAACTAAATTGAGACCATATTGTTTGGGAGTCACTTGAAAGGTCACAGGGTCAGAACACAGTGGAATTCACCTGAAGGGACAGTGGGAAGTGAACACGAAGCTGAGCTGTGACCGTACCCCAAGTGGAGCCCATCCCCCGTGAGGACCACACCCTTCATTTTCTGGGGAGTGGGCCACAGCTTCCACCAGCTTCTCAGAGGAGGTCCCTGCATTTCCCAAAGTGTAATCCTAGCACCCTGGGAGGCCAAGGCAGGAGGATCTTTGAGCTCAGGAGTTCAAGACCAGCCTGAGCAAGAGTGAGACCTTGTCTCGCTATATTAAATATATATATATATAATTTTTAAAAGGAAGAAAAGAAAAGTATTATGAACACAGCGGAAGAAGCTGAGGTTTTGGGCTTTCAGGAGACCCTGTATTTCAGCCAGTGAGGGAGTGGGGAGAAGACACGAAGAAGAAAAATCAGAGGGAATAAATACAGGATTAAGAGGACAGGCAGGATGTGGTGTTCTGCACACTGCTCACCTGTTCATGCAGGGCCAGGAAGGTGAGTGGGCGACAGGAAGAGAACACACAGGACGCCAGTGAGACCAGCCAAGTGGAAACGCTGCCAGTGCAGCCCAGCAGAGGACCGGCCCCCTCGGTCTCCTAGCCGACTTCTGTGGTGCTGCCCTCTCACCGTTTTTACCTGGGACCTGAGGGAGCTGCTAAGGTGTGTTTGAGCTGATCAGGGTGAACGCAGACTGGCTGCCCACCGAGCTCGAAAGTGAACATTGCCAGATCTGTGTAGCGATAAACACACACAGGAGGGGATCCGCGGTCAGACCCCCAGCAGGCATTTGCAGGAGGGATTCCTTTTGAGCCCTACCCGTCCTGCTTCCTGCCCTGCCAAGTGCTGGATGCTTACATACGTGTACTACTTCCAGTCTTACAGCAACTCTGCAAGACAGGAGTAATAGATACGTCTGTCATATTTCACACATGCAAACGCACTCACACGCACTTGTACAAGGGTTAAGCTTTAGTTCTCTCCTCTGGCTCATCCTCTGTGCCCAGTCAGCAGTCACGAGGTCCCAATGGGTCATTCTTCAGAACACCTCTCAAAGACCACTGGCGTGGAAGGGCATGGAGCAGGACTTGGTCTTATTTACCTCTGCATCCTTAGGGTCTGGCACAAAGTCATTGCTCAAAAAATATGTTGAGTGGATGAATGCATGAACATAAGAATGAATGAATGAATAAAGTCCTTTTTCCCCAAACTGCATTCCCCTGCCAGCTGCTGGCCCATTCTTCCCTGAGTCCATCTGGACTCATGTACTATCCTAAGTGCTCCTGTGCTGCCCACTCTGGCCTCTGTCTGCACACCACAGCCAGTTTTGTCATGATGGCGGCTTGCCGTGAGGTCTTCAGTGGTTCCCAGTGGCCTAGCAAACAAGGAACAAACTCAAGAGACAGCCTGTGCTTACAGCATCACTTCTGTTTAGACTTCTGCAGTTGGTATTTCTGCCAACAGTGTTCGGAATGTATGTATAGGTGTGTGTGTCTGTGTGTTGCAGTGTGAGTGCGGGTGTTGGTGTGTGAGCGGCTGTGGGAAGGCTGGGCAGGCGCGTTAGGAAAGGGACCCTGCTTCCTCCTTACTGAGCTCCCCGGGGAGGCATGCAGGGACCTGGCTGATCACTAAGGCAAACACTCAAACAGGTGTTGGCCCTCGGGGACCTCGTGTCTGAGCTCACTACATCCTCCTCACACAGGAGCCATCACTCCACGTCTTTTCCTTGCACCTTTCCAAATAACACCATGAAAGGCTTCTTAGTGACAGCACGCGATAACTGCATCATGCCGACACCTCACTGAGTGCCGCCAGACCTGAGCGCCACCTCCACTTCTTCCTTCTCCACTTGGATGCCAAGCCTGGGCACTCCCATGGTGTCTCGCCATAGGAGACAAGAGTGACCAGCCAGAAGGCTCTCGGTGCCTCACACCTGCAGATGCAGAGCCTCCACCCTGCTCCTTCTCCACTTCCTCTGCCTCTAAAACGTCTACCAGTCGAGCTGAGGCCACGCCACAATTTGGCAACACTCAGGTGTCGTCCGTGTTGGAGGTAAGACTCTCCCATTTCACACTTTTCTTGGGTCCCCCTTCTTCTTTGTCCTTGGCGGGAGGGCAACTGCCCAGAGTGGTCTCCAGGAGCCAGGCAGGGGAGGAGGCATCTAGGACAGACAGCACCCCAGGACCCTGCCCCACGGCTCACCTACGCCTGCTCTGTCCTCGGACCTCCTGAGGCCCCTGCTCAGGTGAGCTCAATGGGCAGAGGCCCTGGGTCCACAGAAGGCCATGTGTCACTGAGGGAGCTGCCTTGAAAATAGAAGAAATGGGCGTGTGTGTGTGTGTGTGTGTGTGTG